ACAGTGGAGCAATATCTTTAAATTATGGGATAGAAAAGAAAAAGTGTCATCCTAGAATTCTATACTTGGAAAAAATATCTTGCAAAAAAGCAGTCAAATGAGAGTATGGGAAAACTGGTAAAATTCAAACTAGGTATGTAGTTTAATTACAGTTATTGCACCAGTGCTAATTTATGGATTTGAAAATGTACTATGGTTATATAAGATGTTATTTCTCATGAAAGATGGCGAAAGGTATTACATCTTGTGAATCTTAAAATTATTTCAAAATACTTTTTTTTAAAGTGGACCCTGTTAAAATTTAACATCTTATGCTTTTTGCAAGAGAATGAAAGCAGAAATTATAGATGAGGAGAATATATTTGAAAATCACGTATCTGACAAAGAACTTCTGTCTGGAATATATAAATAGCTCTCAAAATTCCATAGTAGGAAACAAACACAATAAAAGTGGAAAAAAAAGTCTTTTGGGCAATGCTGATTAAAGCAACAGTGAGATACCACTATGCACCTATTTGAAAGCCTAAAATGAAAAAAGATACATTAAACCATGCGTTCCTGAGAGCAACTTGATCTCTTTGTACGGTGCTGGTGGACAAAGTAAAAATAGTACTATTACTTTGGAAAACAGTTTACCAATTTCTTTAAAAAGTTTATATGTATACACATACTGTACATCCAAACCATTCACTGCTAGATTTTTGACCAAGAGTAGTGAAACATACATACACACACAAAGACTTGTATATGAGTGTCCACAAGCAGCTTTATTTGTAATAGCTAAAAATTGTGAACAGTCTAAATGTTTAATGGATGAAGGGATGAACAAATTGTGGCATATTATAATATTGAATACTAATAAGCAATACAGATGAATGAAGCATTGATGCAATGACATGGATGAATCTCAATACTGAGTGAAAGAAGCCTGTCAAAACCAATCATACAATGCATGTATGATTCATTTATATGAAATTCTGGAAAATGCAAACTAATCTATAGTGACAGAGACTTAGGAAGTCAGTGGGACAGAGAAGGGTGAGGCCTCTGGAGACTTTTAGCATGATGGACATATATTGATTTTGGTAACGGTTTCATGGTTGTATCCTGTGTCAAGAGTTATCAAGTTTTGCATTTTAAATATGCACTGGTTATTAGATGTCAGTTATATCTAACTAAAGCTGTCAAGAAAAAGTCACCCAGTCATGTTTCACTTGGAGAAATAGACAAATGATACCAACGTATGACGTCATCAAGGCAAGAGTAGCAAGCTGATCTCTTTATAAACAGTGCTGTACCACGGAAGGTATTTTATGCACTTATAGGTTTACTGTGTGATTAAAATAACTCTGACGAGTATTCAGGAGTATTATTAGTTTCTCAGTCATTCATCCCATCATTGTAAGACAGCTTCCTTTTTTTACAGATCTTTTTAACATCTTGGCAAAGAAATTATTACATAATGTCTTGTGTTCTATTTTCATTCAACATAAACAACTTCTTGTCTTTCAACTAATTAAAACATTATTATTATTATTATTATTATTTTATTCTGTTTTATTTTTGAGTTGGAGTCTCACTCTGTCACCCAGACTGGAGTGCAGTGGCACGCTCCCGGCCACCGCAGCCTCAACTTTCTGGACTCCGGCAATCCTTCTGCCTCAGCCTTCCAAGTAGCTGGAACTACAGGCGTGCGCTACCACACTCGGCCAATTTTTTATTTTATTGGAGCGATGAGGTCTCACCAAGTTGCCCGGGCAGGTCTTGAACCCGCGGGCTCAGGCAATCCACTCACCTCAGCCTCCCAAAGCGCTGGGATTACAGGCTGAGCCACCGAGCCCAACTTAAAACATTTTTAATGACTGTACTTTTTATCTTATCACACTGTTATTAACTATTTCCTTAGTTTGTGGAACATTTTAATATAGTCTTAAATAAGTATACTGTTTTTAGTAGAGTCCACCCGAGTTTTAAATATTGAATTTTACTTTAAAAATAACAGCTTCTATGGAATAATATGTTAGGAAAAAGCATAAAATTGTATTAAATGTGAGTTAAGAACCTTGTGAGACAATTATTTGTTAAAAACCTTTATTGATCACTTGTAGATAGGCAATGGTCAGATTTGGCGGGGTGTCTGGATTAACAGACACACTATTATCTCATTTAAGATATGATGACAGTTTATAATTGCAACAGCACTTTTTTAAGGTAAAGGTCAGGACTCTTGGTTTAGCGTATTTATATCTAGAGGCTACTGATAGGGATCATATTCAGATATTACAGAATGGTATCATTTTGGAGAACTTTGTATGTACAAAATACCTGGTTGTTTTTGACGTGAAAATTGTGGGGTAATTTTAGTGTATGAGAACCAGAAACGATTGATTTGAATAAATGTTAATTTTTAGAAATGCACATGTAGAGCTATTTAAAATGTGGTTGTAAATTAGGATTTTAAATAATGAAGAGAAATTAGTGCTTATCCTTATTTTATGAAAAACAAAAAATATTACAGAGAGACATATCTAAGTCACTAGGAAGGGTTTATTCAAGTCATAGAACAAGAATAGTAAAACTTTGATTTTTTTTTTTTTTTTACTACTCCTTTCCTTATTTAAACTCCTTAGTGTTAAAATTCAACAAATAGTTTGTGTAACTCAAGTTCTTGAGTGTTCTTCCTAGATAAAAGCTTTGCCTTATAAACCTAAAAGAAAGTTTATGTTCTGAACAGGTATTTCAGCTTAATGTGATATTTGTTTTAGTTACCAGTTTTACCTTATCTTTCAAAAAAATTATTCTTAACATGTTAAAGATGTATACCTGTGCATATCTTAATGGTTTTTATAAAACTGATTTATATCTTAAATCAGTAATATTAAAGAAGTTTTAAGAATGCATCTTTATTATTGTAGTTATTATTTCAGAGTTTTATCATGAAAAATATTCTAGACTGGGTCTTAATTTCTGATTATGACTTTAAATGTATCTGATAGTTCTCTGATCTGCCTGCATGTAGTTTATATTGTTAATAGTGGTTTCACTCTCTTATTCCTGGCATTTTGTTGTTGTACCTAAATTCTCTATTTTTTTTCTGCCATTTAGATTTTTCTATCTTTTCTCTAATCTCAAGTGCTCTCTTGAATAAAACAAACGCTGAAACCAATAATGGAGGGAGGAGTTTAGGTCTTTCTTTCTACTTCTTAATTCATATGAACTGTTGGGTGTGTTTTTGACCTCTATGGTTATAGAGTCTCTAGAAGTTACAGTTTAGTTTGTAAATTTTAATAGTTACATTACTTTTAATAACTTCTGTAATAAATTTGGGAACCTTTTATAATTTGTTATAATGAGATTTTATATGGGGTTTCTTTTAAAGGTTTGCTAAATGTAGAATGGACTTTCCCTCATTATTTCTCCTTTATCGGGTCCCCTAGAAATAGGTTTCCAAAGTAATTTAAAAGAGTTAGAGAAATTCAGCTTTGAAATCAGATAGTCTGCTCTGTATTGTGATTGTAAGATATATGTGAAATAGAAATTGGATAATACTATTTCTCAGGAGTATACTAAAAATGTATGTGTATGTCCTAGTAATCTTGTGTAATCCTGAAGTCCCTCTCCTTCCTAGTCATTTTGGACTCTTTTTCGAGATAATTGATGACTTTTGTCTTGACTCTCATCTTCAAAGACATATTTAGGTTTAATCAGTACACACTACCTCTGATGTCCTCTTCATCCTGTTGATGGCCATTTGTTCCCTTACAACTAGAAAGTAAGTTCTATATCAGTAGAATGCAGAGGCTTGTTCTCTAGTCCCAGTATTAAAGAGTTGGCCATCCGTTTAAAGAACATGCCACAATTTTTGAAAACTTGAGAAACTGAATGGTTTAAAACTTGCATTTAATGATAAAAGAAGATTCCCCCCTCTGGGAAATATATTGTGACTCAGGTCTGATTATCTTTTTCAGAATTTCATGTGTTAGGTGTGGCAGTAAACGATTCATTCTATGTTTCTAGTATATTTAATAAAGTCCAGATTTAGCATTTCTTCTATATTTTATCACTTTCTATTTAATTTTTGCTGGCTCTTTACTGGTAATATCATTCTTAGAGCTTATGGTTAGGATAATCTGGTGACTCATTATCTTACAGATTTAGTATTTTGAACCTTGACTTGTCAATTTAAAGTATCATTTATATCAAATAGGAAGTTGTTCTTTCTGCGTCCTATGGAAATGTGACGCAGACAAAATATAGACCCTTTGGGAATTTGATATACAGTCTCATGCGTTCTAGTATTTCTTAAAGCCAAAAGTGCCATACCACTTGAATATATAAAAAGTTGCAGCATAGTACCGCTGTGAAAAACTTTTTTTCCATGTAACCTCATAGTACATCTTTAGTCTAAGAAGTCACTTGTGTTGCATGTGATACTGCACAGACATTAGGACCTCTCTGGGTTTTCTTACATCTGGGTTCCTCCCATGTTTGCCTTGTTTTTAAGTATTTTCTTACCTTTTCTCTGTTACTTTAGTACATAGTACTGTGTTACTAGGGAAATATTTGATGTGCTTACAAAAAAGGAAGTGATTAATTTTGGAAGAAAGGCAGCTTTGATCTTTATCCTGGTAGAAGTGGTTTAAAGATACTAAATTTGAAACTTGTTGCTCAGTTTTGAGGTAATCTCAACCTCCCAGTTCTCTAAAACGTGTTAGGGTAGTTTGGTAATGATGCATGCTTGGCAATAAAGACAAATTTCACATGTTACTGAGGTTAAAAATTCTGCCAGTGAAATAATTAAAATCCTCAAATTTGATGATCAAATTTCCTGTAACATATGTAATTACAACACACCAAAATATAGTACCCAAAATACGCTTTGATCCTTTCAATAAAATATTTTATTTAGTAAATAAAGCACTGTGGAATAATGCCTAGTAGATTCAATGTCTTTTTTGGGCTTAAAGTGTGTTAACTTACTATATTTGATTTTTAAATAGACACCAAATCCTACTGCAAGCGAGTTTATTCCTAAAGGAGGATCAACCTCCAGGCTGAGTAACGTGTCCCAGTCAAATATGTCTGCCTTCTCTCAAGTTTTCTCTCACCCATCCATGGGAAGCCCTGCTACTGCTGGATTAGCACCAGGTAAGTTGAGTAACCATTTCTAGTGAGTTCCAGATATCAAACCTGTAAGCACCATTTACTATTAATTTATCAGAACTTAAATTGTGTATTTGAATGATTCACATTTGTGAACACATTATGAGTTTCATGTTCTGGTTTTTAGAGCCATAGATCAAATATGTAGTTGAGAATTTTAAAGCAAAACTTTAAATATGAATGAAATTATATATAGGGGTTTTTATATATAAAAATGAGAAAAATAAATTTAAAGGAGAAAATGGTAATTTAGAAAAAGCATCTATCTGGACCTTGGTATTTCCCTATTTTTGAGAGTCAGTGATAATACTGTTTCACTAAGACTTTTGTAAAGGCATTAGAAATAGAAGGAATATTGATGTACGTCTGCCTCAAAGTCCTCTTATATTAAATTTCTAAAAAATAGTCTATGTCACTGGAAATAAATCTTTAGATGATACTGCCTTTCAAATGTTTGCTTATAAATGCAGTAGGAGTAATTTAAAATTGGGTCAAGCATTGTAAAGAGTACTAGAGAACAAGTGTATTGCATTAGGAAACATTGCAGTAGGGAAAAACATTTTTAAGTCATTTTCTTTCAGGTGTATTCGTGATGGTGGAAGGTTTGGGGTAAATGTCCTTACACTCCAGGAATCTTGAGCATAGTTCAGAGTGACCCTTTGAGAGGTCTATAATTCTTTGAAGTCTTCTTTTTTTTCTTAAAAATTCATACAAAATGTCCATCTACTTTGTAAAAAAAACTGTTTTTTTTTTTTTTAATGGAGGTCTTAGTCCGTTGCTCAGTCTGGAGCGCGGTAGCATGTTCATAGCTCACTGCAGCCTCAGCCTCCTGGGCTCAGGATCCTTCCACCTCAGCGTCTTGAGTAGCTGGGACTATATGTGTGCGCCACCATTCCTGGCTAATTTTTTTAATTCCTTTTTTTGTAGCGACAAGGTCTCTCTATGTTGCCTAGGCTAGTCTCGAACTCCTGGACTCAAGCAATCCTCTGTCTCCCAAAGTGCTGAGATTTCATGAGTGAGCCACCGCACCTAGCCACAAACATTTACTTTTAATATAAAATATTAAAAATCTCTTAGATGATTAACATCACTTATCCCCACAGCTGTGTACCTTGATTTGGAAAGTGAGGTATGCAAATCACATTGAATTCATAGTGCTGAGCAGACTGTTATTTTATGTGTGTAAAATGTTTGAGCGACACCCACAGATTATGTTTCTAGAACCTGCACTGGAAAACCATCACTTGACCACTTCTTGGTCATTTCCAAAAAACAGAAGGAAAATGAAATATTCACACACTAGAACAGAGCCCAAAGATCTGTCTAGATCAGCCTGGAACTGGCAATGTCTCCTAGGCTTAACCCAATAGGAAGCCGAAACTTTGATTTTGATGCTCATATCTGAATCAGAGACCTTTTCAGGAAGAAGAATGAGAGAAAATAGAGATAACACTATGGAACAGAGCATCTGTTTCAGCATTTAAAGTATGGGTGTGCTCAGAACTTTGATACCCTGTGTTGCCAAGGATTTTATCTATGTCTCCTTTGCCCGCTAGTCTCTCTCACCCCCTTTTGTGTCTCCCTCCCTGCCAGTCTCCTCCGCCGTCCCCCCCTTACCATTTCTTCTCCTTTAGCTGTTTTCAGGATTTGTAAACATTTTCCCTTCTTCCCTAGAGAGCAGTGTCAGAATTGAATATCCTTGGTAGCCTGTAAGTTTTACTTGTAAGGAGTATGCTGCTGTAATTTTTGTCCCACTGAGGTGTGTTCACATTGTTTACATGAGCAAATCTATAAGTTAGCTATACACCTACTATTTCTTAGAGAGACAGTGTCTAAACCTCTGAGCGGGTTTGTTATTTACCTTTATGTGTTCATTTATAAACCACCCACAATAACGAGATCCATATGCCAGTCAGAAATTACATGCCAGTTTATTTTGGCCTTACAGTACTTCCTTCTTTGTATCAGAAGTGAATATTTTGTTCTTATCAGACTTGTTGAGGCTTGCCATTTAAAAAAATTAGCCCTTTTAAATATTAAAGTTAAAATTAAAGTAGATCTTAAAACAGTTGAGTTAAGAAATCCATTACTACTTGTGGTATTTCTATAAGCTTTTCAGTGGATATTAGCTTATTTGGAGTTATGTGTTTTATTGGTCCCAATTGGACATCACAATTTAAATTTAGGATGAAATTAAGTAATTTTAAAATTAGCTGAAAAACTATGTATTCTTCTGCATAGCCTTAGCTGTAGCATGAAAATGGTCTTTCTACTTTCTAATAATGTTGAGAGTAATCACTCTGGAACCATTGGAAATAGGTTATTATGTCAAACGTATTCTTGAATTTTTTGTGACTATTAAATGATGACTAAGCTATTTTCTTAAAACTATTGAAATGATGAATGATTTTGCATTATTATTTCCTTATATTTTCCCCATTAGTTAATAGCTTAACAGTCTCTAGAGATGAGCAAAGGGGAAGAAAATTAAGTCTGCCTTACTAATAGAAAGCCATTTTAACCTTTTAATGTCTTCCATCATTTCTTACCCATCATTTTGTAACCTTTTTTTGAACAAAATGTTATTTTGTTTTATCTTTATATTTCCACTTTAAGGTTATAAGATAAATAAGATTGTAGAGTCTATTTAGCTACCTTAGTGGTGATTTAATTTATCTTTAATGCTTCTTGTCTATTGTAGGTGTGATGTTGATAATTTTTAGTTACACATTTTTTATTTTCTCTTTAAAAAATTTCTATTCCCAAAACTATTGCCCTTGACATTGTGCTATTACTGGTTTTCTAAAACACATGAAACTTTAAAAACCTTAAATTTCTTCCGAAACCTACCTGTATAAAACTAGAGTTAGAGTAATGGCATTTTCATTATATGTGGAAAAGTACATATCTAAATATATTTTTTGACCAAAAATATAAAAAAATTTGAGCAGTGTTGGTATTAAGATTTTGTGTTTTCTTAAATTATAGGAACAAAGGCAATAATGCTTGGTACAGAATAGACACTGAGTTAATCAAAGTTTTTTAAAAAATTTGTTTCAGGGCTGGGCGCAGTGGGTCACGCCTATAATCCCAGCACTTTGGGAGGCCAAGGTGAGAGGATTGCCTGAGCTTGTGGGTTCAAGACCACCCTGGGCAACTTGGCAAGACCTCATCTCTACAATAAATCAAAAAATTAGCTGGAAGTCATGAATTTAGTTAGAAGTAGCTTCCAGCTACTTGGAAGGCTGAGGCAGAAGGATCACCTGAGCCCAGCAGGTCGAGGCTGCAGTTGCTGTCAGTGTGCCACTGCACCTCCAGCCTGGATGACAGAGTGAGACTCCAACTCAAAAAACAAAAAACTTCTTTTGGTTTCAATTATTTGAGAAAAAATAAGTCATGCTTTTGTTTTATGTTTCAAAGCAAGAAGTAAAACTACATACAAAAGTTAATTTATTCATAGCCAATTAGGTTTAAAAGGCATTAAAAAGTTAAAAAATATGGCATATATTTCCACTGAATTGCATATACATTCATTTTCTGTTTTAATCTAAGAAGTCAAGACTCTGTAGATAAAGGTGTTTCGTGCCTTTTAACCTATGAGCAGTGGCTACATTTCTAAGTATCTTTTGTGAAGATAGTTTAAGACTGTTTTAAGTTTGGTGCTTACTTGGGCTTCATTGTCTTTTAGAAATCCCTACAATTGTGTTCATACCTTTTATTTGTAAATACACATATTTCTATGGCTACAGTTTTTATTATCTTCTTTAGAGGATCACAGCCCTCCAAAAGTTAAGAACCATTGGCTTAATACAACCTTAGCAAAAGTAATTTCCAGAATGTGTTATAGTAGGAATGCTTTTTAAGTAACATGTAGTATAAAGATACATTTTTCCAGTAGCTCTTGCTTAGGCAAATATTTTTTCATCTATCTCTAGAAATTAAATTATGATTGTGCCTGGTATATGAAATGATATAGTTCATGCTCTAAATTTTTGTGCCACAAAAAATACTTTTATCATGAGAACTAATTGCTGGATTTTTCCCAAGAGTACTTAGATTTAATTGTAGATTCAGTAGACTAAGTCTTAGTGTATTTTAAATTGAATGACCTAAGTATTAACCAGTTCACAGCACCACAGTGTGTTTGAAAGGCGATGTAAGAGAGGTGGCCCAGGAGCAGCTTGCATTTCTGGGTAGTTTTCTCAGGCATCATTTAGTAGTTTAATGCACAGTTGTGCCTCAGGAATTGAGTTTCTCCCCTTCTGCTCAAAGTGTATGGACACTTGGAAGGGGAAGGGGCCAGTTCTTTAATTTGAAAGTGTCATCATTGACTTATAAATGAGAAAAAGCTCATATGACTTTCAGCATTTTTCGATATTCATTCCTTCAAGATGAGGATAGTGCAGGTTTCGGATCATTGGGTATATCTTATAAATTATGAAGGCACATCTCACATGACTGATAAGAGGAGTAATACCTAATGATTGTATCTAATTATTGTATTAGCACTGTTAGATAATTGTATTCCTTATTACTAACTTTATTGTAGTATTTGGAAAAATAAGTCTAAAGAAATTATATTCTTAGATCCAGTTTTCTGAAATAATGAGTGATAATTTCGAAGATTTCTGAGGGTGATGGTGACAAATTGGTTGGTAAAATTGGCTAATATTCTTCTTTGATCTTTAGCTTGAGAAATGTGTGACAGAAAAAGGGAAGGGCATATTTATTCATCATTCTTGTTCAGAAATATTTAAACTTTCAATCAATATTTTAGACTATATAAAAAATAGTTATTCTTGTAACGTTGAAGGTTTTGGATAGAATGTTGGTTTCAGTTTCAAAGTTCTGTGCTAAAAGTAATAAAACTGGGTAATTCTCTAGCTCTATGGCATTTCCTATCATAGATGAGGAAAATAGAGGCTTATTCATTTGCATTGCATAGTAGCAAGTTTAGGCAGTAACCTGATCTTGATCACAGATCT